CCCCCAAATCAGCCCCCCGGGGCCCGCCAGCCGCCAGCGGAGCGCGGGGTATCAACAACTCTCCCCGCCGTTTATTCCAGGAAAGCAAAACTGTACAAAATGGCTGCCGGGCAGGGGGCCGGCTCAATCCTCCTCCTCCTCCTCCTCCTCGTCCTGGTTGATCTGGAAGTAGCGCAGCTCGTAGCTCTCCTTGCTGTTGGCCACCACACGCAGCCAGTTGCGCAGGTTGTTCTTCTTCAGGTACTTCTTGGTCAGGTACTTCAGATACCTGTGGGGAGAAGCCTGAGCTTGAAAGCGGTTTTGCACCCCCAAACCGGCGGCGTTTCTCTAGCGGCGCCTCTCCGCCCCCCTGCGAACCCCCACACGGCGCTTTTGGCAAACACAAATCCCCGTTCCCGTGGGCTTCCACCTCCACCGGGAGCAACACGTCCCATCGGCACGTCCCGGCAAAGCTTCTGCCAGGAAACAACACCGCCGGGGGAATTGCGCCGGCACCCTGACGAACACGGAGCCTGGGAAATTATTTCCCTCCCCTCGCCCTCCAAGGCTGCGACCACACACCGTATTTCCACGCCACCGGCTCAACACACCACAGCGAATCTCTGCTCGGACGGCGGCTAACCGCTGCCAGCTCCTGCAGCAGCTGCAGGGACGTGCCAGGCGCGGCACCGGCACGGAGAAACCGCATCAGCTGAAACGCGGATGCTTACAGGGCAGGGCACTGCCCCAGCACCGCACACGGTTTTCTTCTCCCCACCGTTTTAGACCTCCAGCTGCCTCACTGTGCCATCTCTGCCGCAGCGAAAACCGTATTAAAGCCAGACAAAGGACAGGCAGCCCCGAGAACCAGGCAGCGGGCAGGAGCCCAGCAGGACAAGGAGCAGTAGAGCGCCCGGGCGGCCCCCCCCCCCCCCCCCGCCGCACTTGGCACCCTTTCGGCTGCGCATCCTCCCCGGCTGCCCACCCCACCGGCCTTCCCAGCAGGAATATCGACCACGTTCTCTCTCTCAAAGATCATTCGAGAACAGGCAGCCACCGCACCGAGTGTCGCACAGCGTTTAACTGAGAGTCTTGGCACGACCCCTGCACCGAGACATCTCTTCACTACCGGGCCCTCCTGCCAGCCAGGCCAGCCCGAACACCAGCGACCCCCCGCCGAGGGCCGGCTGCTGCCGGCGGCAACAGACCACGGCTCCGGGCGCTGGCAGTAGCCTCTGGCCGGGGCCGGGCACTCCCGGGCTGCCCTGCCGCCTCACCTCTTTGAGAACGGGACCTCCGACGTGACCGTAATCTTGCTCTTGCTCCTCTCGATGGTCACCACACCCCCGCCCAGGTTTCCCGCTTTGCCGTTCACCTTGATCCTTTCCTGCAGGAACTGCTCCTGCAAGAGAGGAACACCGCCGCTCAGCCGGGGCCGCCAGCTCCTGTCGGACAAGACCTCCCCAGCTCGCCTGTGCCCAGCGCTTCAGCTTTTTGTTAGCGCTGGGGAAGAGACAGAAGTGCCGTTATGTCCAGGGGAAGCAGAGGAAAGCCACCTTCCTGCAGGCCAGGAGACTCCGAGCCTGCCAGTGCCTTCCACAACCAACCCAACCGGCCCATTCAGACCTGCGCGTAAGGGAGGTCCAACCCAACCGGCCCATTCAGACCTGCGCATAAGGGTCTCAAGTCCGAACGCACCGGATTAGCGAGGTAGGGACACGTTTCCTGCCTTCCGAGGGAACAGCCAGTGAAGCGACGGCTGGGTTAGGATCCTCCGAGGACACCTCAGCCACAGCCCTGCGCTGTGGCTCGCATTCAAACTCGAGCACAGTTTGAATGAAAACAGGTTCATCAGACAGTGCTGAAACGCAGCACACTCTGCCCTCACCGTTCCTCACAGCGTAACAGAAAACTCACCCCCCGAGGGATGAACGGCAATACTGCTGAACAGGAAGGGAAGATGCTTGTGCTTTAACTACAAAGCGTTTAAAAACAGCAAACAGCTCATAGCCTCCAGCACCACCCAGGCTCCCTTTGTCTGCAGGGTGTTTCCCAGCGCCGCAGACCTTTACGCCAGGCTGTGGTGAGGGGCAGAAACAGAGAGCAGGGGCAGTGGGGGCTGCCAGGGCCGTGTTCATCAGCACACTGTTGGGAGCGGAGCCAGCAGCCTCCCCCCCCCGGAAAGGCCCGGTGGGGCAGCAGTGCCGTCACGTCTGTCCCCGGGGCGGCAGAGAGGCCCCGCACTCACAAAGTTGGCGGCGTCCATGATGCCATCCTCCACAGGGTGTGTACAGTCCAGCGTGAACTTCAACACCTGCTTCTTTTTTTTGCCACCTTTCGCTGCGGGCTTCTTCTGCAGCGGGGGGAAAGAGAGAGCCGTGAGGGATCAGCTCCAGGCAACGGGCCCGGGGGCAGCGGGGAGGAGGGAGGGGACCAGACCGAGCTCAGGCCTGGAGGCAAGGGGACCGAGCCGGGCTCCAGGCTGGGGGGAGAGGAAAGGGGCCCGGGCCAGGATTCGGGCCGGGGGCAGCGGGGAG